GTACAACGTAATGGCTTTTCTTTTTTCCCCTCAATGGCTTTTCTTTTTTTTTTAATTTTTAAAGATTTTATTTATTTATTTGACAGAGAGAGATCACAAGTAGGCAGAGAGGCAGGCAGAGAGGGGGAAGCAGGCTCCCTGCTGAGCAGGGAGCCCCGATGTGGGGCTCGATCCCAAGACCCTGGGATCATGACCTGAGCCGAAAGCAGAGGCTTTAACCCACTGAGCCACCCAGGCACCCCTGGCTTTTCTTATCATACAGAATTGTGCATCCATCCCCACAATCAATTTTAGAACATATTACCCCCCACAGAAACCCTGCACCACTGAGCCATCACCTCCAATCTCCCTATCCTTCCCAGTCCTAGGCAACCACTAATCTTCTTTTTAATAGACTGTGTTTTTCTTTTTCTATTTTTAAAAGATATTTACTTATTATTAGGTTCACAGGTCCTAATAATACTTAATGATCACTTTCACTAGTTGCATATAACGCTCAGTGCTCATTCCATCGTGTGCCTTCCTTAATGCCCATCCCCCAGTTACCTCATCCCCTCCACCTGCCTCCCCTCCAGCAACCCTCAGTTTGTTTCCTATAGTTAGGAGTCTCCTATGGTTTATCTCCTTCTCTGATTTCATCTTATTTTTCCTCCCCCTCCCCTGTGTTCATCTGTTTTGTTTCTTAAATTCCACGTATGAGTGAAATCATATGATATGTCTTTCTCTGAATGACTTATTCACTTAGCATAACAACTTCTAGTTCCATCCACGTTATTGCAAATAGGAGGATTTCCTTCTTTTCGATGCCTGAGTAATATTTATTTGAGAGAGAGACAGAGAGTGCACGAGTGAGGGGAGGGGTAGAGGGAGAGAGAATTCCAAGCAGGCTCCGCACCGAGCTCAGAGCCTGGTGAAGGACTATCTCTCATGACCCTGAGATCATGACCTGACCCACAATCATGAGTTGGACACTTAACTGACTGAGCCACCCAGGCACCCCTCTTCTGTGTTTTTACAGCAGTTTTAGGTCCATAGCAAAATTGAGAGGAGGTACAGAGATTTCTCATATAGTCCCTGCTCCTACAAATATGTGGCCCTCCCCCATTATCAGTATCTCCCTCCAGATGAGACATTTAGAATAACTGACAAACCTACACTGACAGACTCTAATCCCTCCCTTCCCAAACCCCCGGAAAGCATTGATCTTTGTACTGTCTCCATAGTTTTACCTTTTCCAGAATGTTATATAGTTGGATGTGTATGTATATGGCTTTTCTCAGACTGATTCTTTCACTTAGTAATATGCATTTGGTGTCTTTTCATGGCTTAATGTCTTCTTCTGTGTCTTTTCATGGCTTAACACCTCATTTCTTTTTATTTTATTTTATTTTTTTAAAGATTTTATTTATTTATTTGAGAGAGAGACAGTGAGAGAGAGCATGAGCGAGAAGGTCAGAGGGAGAAGCAGACTCCCCATGGAGCTGGGAACCCGATGCGGGACTCGATCCCGGAACTCCGGGATCATGACCTGAGCTGAAGGCAGTCGTCCAACCAACTGAGCCACCCAGGCGTCCCTCATTTCTTTTTAGTACAAATAGCCCATTGTCTGGTTGTACCACAGTTTATCCATTCATCTACTGGAAGACATCTTGGTTGCTTGCACCTTTTGGCAATTATGAATAAAGCTGCTATAAACATCCTTGTGGAGGGTTTTTTTTTTTTTTTTTGGTGGACATAAGTTTTAAATTCCTGTAGATAAATATCAAGGAGTTTGATTGATAGATTGCATGGTAAGAGGATGTTTAGCTTTGCAGGAAAGCCACAAGGTGGCTGTACGTTTTTGCATTCCCATCAGCAGTGAATGAGAGCTCCTGTTGTTCCCCATCCTCATTAGCATTATTGTTGTTTATGTTCCAAATTTTGGGCATTATAATAGGTGCTTAGTGGTATCTTGTTACTTTGATTTGCAGATTAAATTTGCATATTATGTGGAACATCTTTCACATGTGTATTTGCCATCTGTATGCCTTTTTTGGTGAGGAGGCTGTTAAGATCTTTGGTCCATTTTTTAACGGGGTTTTTTGTTTTCTTATTGTTAACTTTGAAGAATTCCTTATAGATTTTTGATAATAGTCCTTTATCAGATAGGTCTTTTGCAGATAGTATCTCTCAGTGTCTTTTGCAGAGCAGAAAATCTTAATGAAGTTTAGGTTATTAATTCTTTCGTGGGCCATGTCTCTGATGTTCTAGCTAAAAGTCATCATCAAACCCAAGGTCATCTAGATTTTTTACTATGTTATTCTCTAGGAGTTTTATAAGTTTGCATTTTTTTTTAAAGATTTTATTTATTTATTTGACAGAGATTACAAGTAGGCAGAGAGGCAGTCAGAGAGAGAAGGAAGCAGGCTCCCTGCTGAGCAGAGAGCCCGATGTGGGGCTCGATCCCAGGACCCTGGGTTCATGACTTGAGCTGAAGGCAGAGGCTTTAACCCACTGAGCCACCCAGGTGTCCATAAGTTTGCATTTTGGTCTGTGATCCATTTTGTGTTAATTTTTGTGGAGGATGTAAGGTCTGTGCCTAGATTTTTTTTTTTTTTTTTTTTTTTTTTGCATGTGGATGTTCAGTTGTTCGGACATTGATTGTTGAAGATTGTAATTGTTCCATTGTATTTCCTTTGCTCATTTGTTAAGTGGGTTATGTTTATATGGGTCTGTTTCAGGGCTCTCCATTCTGTTCCAATGATATGTCTGTTCTATCACCAATACCAATGTCTTGATAACTGTAGCTTTACAGTAAATCTTGAAGTTGGGTAGTGTCAGTCATCCAACTTTGTTCCTCTCTTCGTCATCCAACGTGGGTTCCTCTCTTCGTCATTATAAGATCTATAAGATCTAGAATAGATCTTATAATGTCATTATAAGATCTATTCTAGATCTTTTGCCTCTTCTAAAAACTTTAGAATCAGTTTGTTAATATCCACAAAATAACTTTCTGGAATTTTGATTGGGATTGCATTGAATCCATAGGTCAAGTTGGGAAGAACAGAGATCTTGACAATATTCAATCTTCATATTAATGAAAAGTTTCATAGTTTTCCTCATATAGATCTTGTATATATTTTGCTATATATATACCTAAGTACTTCATTTGGGGGTGTGTGTAAATGGTAGTGTTTTTAAAGTTCCAGCTGTTCATTGATGGCATATAGGAAAGCAATTGACTTTTGTGTGTTAACATTGTATCCTGCAACCCAGTGTGATCACTTATTAATTCCAAGATATTTTTTGTTGATTCTTTTAGATTTTATACATAGACCATCATATCACCTGTGAGCAAAGAGTTTTATTTCTTCTTTCCCACTATGTATACTTTTTCTTTCCTTTTTTGGTCTTATTATGTTAGCTAAGAACACTAATCAGTTTTTGTTTCAGTTTTTTTTTTTTTAAGGATTTTTATTTAAGAGAGAGAGAGAGCTTGTGTACGAGTGGCAGGCAGGGGCAGAGTGAGAGAGAGAAGCAAACTCCTTTCTGATTAGGGAGCCCAATGTGGGACTTCATCTCAGGACCCTGATATCATGATCTGAGCTGAAGGCAGATGCTTAATGTCTGAGCCACACAGGTGCTCCTCATATGAATGTTAAGATCAGTGTATTTATTTCTGCAAAGAAGTCATCTAGGGTTTTCATAAAGATTGTGTTGAATCTGTACTACATTTTGTGGACTATTCTCATTTTAGCAATATTAAGTTTTCTGATTTATTGAACATGAGATATCTTTCTGTTCATTTACACCTTTAGGTTCTTTCAACAATGTATTTTTTTTTTTAATTTTGGTCTATAAGTTTTGCACTTCCTTTGTTAAAATTATTATTAAACATTTTCTTCTTTTTGATGCTATTCTAAATGGAACTGCGTATCTGATTGCACTTTTAGATTGTTCACTGCAAGTCTTTAAAAGTACAATAGATTTCTGTGTATTGATTTTGTATCCTGCAACCTTACTGAACTTATTTATTAGTTCTAATAGTTTTTTAGTTGATTATTTAAGATTTTCTATATGCAAGGTTATGTAATGTTCAAATAGAGATAGTTTTACTTTTTTTCCAATCCAGATGGCTTACATTTCATTTTCTTTCACATTGGTGTCTTTTTGGAATATGGAAAAACTGATTTAGAACTTGCCCGTCTCATACCAGGCTTGTGAAATTCAGTGTCCATATGTACTTTCACATTCTCTTCTCCATCATACCCAATTCCAAATTCTTTTCCTCATATCCTGCAGTATGACCTGTTCTGGTTAATTATCACCTTGCCCCTGCTCCCAATCTAGTTTTATTTGTCTGGCCGTCTGTCATTAAACACAGCTGTTCGGCCTCTGCTTCCGGTGATGTCTGTGTCATGGTGGCATTTGTCCTGTAATCATTCTCATCTTCACGATTTGAACTCTTAGAAAACATGATCATAATATTCACAATGTTAAAAATTTTGCTAGCAAGATCTTGAAACACAGCACACCAGTTGCATAGGTAAAAATCAAAGGCAGCCCATTAACACTTGTGGCTACAATGCAGTTTCGCTGTGGGACTCGCAGTCATGGATGGCCCGTGAGCGGGAACTCAGGGTAAGCTGCAAGCCATGGAAAACGGACAGCGACTATGGAAGGTGGATCATGTAGCTACGCATATCCATTTGTCATTAAACATAGTTTTGCCTTCAGTTCCTATTTTGGGGCCACTGTGGGGATTTTGTCCTTTTCCCTCAAACTTCCACATCCATTGCTGAAAAGTGGGATCTTCTGCACCCTGGAGTGGGTTTGCTGGGATGCGGGACTTGATGGTGTGAAAGGTGCGATGGTCCTGGAGAAAGCAGGTCGCCCTGATTCTGCTCCTCTGCATGATGGGGTTCTTCACGTGGTAACGTGGATGCAGCGCGCCTTCCTGGGGCCTCCCAGCTGAAGGGGCCCATCTTGTGACTGTTGGTTTGCTGTTTAACTTGTTTTAGGACAAAACCATGAGACTATGGAATATTGAAGAAATTGACGAAATTCCTCTGGTAATCAAGTGCAAAAAGGCCCTGGGCTTACAGGTGAAACAGGTTGGTACTGGGTAATATTAAGCTCAACGAAGGCTTTCATTAGTTTCCTCCACAAATGAATTTATTCTTTGAACCAACATTTATTGGGCAACTGGGGATAAAACCATGAACAAACGGACTGAAATTCTTGCCCTGAGGGAACTTATGTTCTAAAAGAGGAGGCCATGAGAAAAGCAGCAAGAAAAATATGTCCTACATCCCACAGCAATAAATAATTTGGAGAAAAATAACGTAGGGAAAGGGGAATGGATGGGAATGCTGGTGACACTTTACTTATTTGAGAGAGAAAGAGCACATACAGGTGGGGGAGGGGCAGAGGGAGAGAGAATCCTCAAGCAGATTCCCTGCTGAGAGGGGAGGGAGCTGAATGCAGGGCTTGATCCCAGGATGCTGAGATCATGACCTGAGCTGAAATCAAGAGTCAGCTGCTCAACCCACTGAGCCACTCAGGTGCTCCTGCTGGTCACACTTGAAAGGATGGCCAGGATAGGTCTCACTGAGAAGGTTAACATTTGATGAAGACCTGAGGTGGTGAGGGAGTGAGCTGTGCAGATGTTTAGGGGAAGGACTTCCCAGCATCGGGAAGAGCCAGTGTGGAGACTCTGAGGCAGGAGTGAGCCTGGGGTATCTGAGGAGTGAAATGAGTCAGAGGGGCATGGCTGGACACACAGCTGGACACGGCATTAGCCTCCCACGCTTGAGCAGCAGACTCCTTGGTGAGGCCCCCACTGCCCAGTGCCTTCCCAGGAAAGGGGCTCAGCTGCCTGTTTTTCTCTAGTGGAGGACGGTGGTAGTAGGGTGGACACGTCTGCTTCACCAGGTGTTGGCCAGGGATGGCCACAGAGTCTATCCCTGGGTGCTGGAGGCCAGTCCCTAGGAGGGTCGTGCGGTATAGACACTTGGCTGCACCCTGAGAGGCTTGCGGAGTCCCTGGTGGGTCCTCTGAGTCCTCCTTCCCTGCAGGGGGAGTCACCTAGGCTTGTCTCCTCTTAGAAGGCCCGGCCAGGAGCTGCTGCTAGAAATGGCTAATCTGTAGGGCAGGGAGATGAGGGGTGGGACCAACATGGACTTTGTCTTTGTGGCCAGCTGGTCCTCAGGGCCTGTGTGGCCATGTTGGCCCTTGGACCCTAGAAGCTGACTGGCTACAGAGCAGTGCTTGCCTGTGTCCTCCACCTGTCCCCTGGGACAGGGACCGCAGGGGCTGCCTGCTCTGAGCCCTGCCATTTTGGGGTTGGGCCATGGGAAATTATGCTGCAGAATAAGGTAGGTATAGGAACAAATTTCTTTCTTACAAAACAAAGAAAAGAAAGAGACATACTTGAAGCTCTTCCAAAGATGAGCCCTCTGCGTTTGTCTTGCTCAAAATCAATATAAGAAACCTCAGAAGCCAGACTTCCCAGAGGGCCTGCCCTGGGTGGGATGTGGCTGCCTCTCCCAAAAGCCTTAGTGCCCTGAGTAGACAAAGGTGGCAGAGCACAGAGGCCTGGCATGCCAGGGAAGAAGCATGCCATCTTGTAGGGGGATGTTGCTGCGGGAGGCATCCGAGACCCCTGCCCATGGCCTGTTAGCCTGGCCTGTGGTGTTGCTCACTTGTGTGTGGGAAGCAGGCAGGGCGGGTGAGCTGTGCCACTGTAGCCACTATTCTCTGTGCGATGTAGCCAGAAACAGGCTGAGATGGAGGAGGAGGCTCAGAACCTTCATCATCTAGTAAAAAGTACGGCTTTGTTCATAAATCTTGCCTACTTGCTTCTCATGGTTCTGTAAGTTAGGTCCCCGGGATGTCAGGGGGTTAGGATAGCCCCTCGGCCCCAGAGTTGTGCTCTGTGAAAGGCAGAGGATGGGGTTAGATACCTACCCCCCCCTCCACTGTCCAGTGGCTTGCCACTCCTGCCCCCAGGATTCCCACAGCAGGGGATGGGCTGGTTGTACCTGCATAGTTTCTGTGGGGGGAAGAGAGGGAGAATCCCGTGTGCATTCTCTCTCAGTGGCCTGCAATGTCCACACTTTGGGGGCAGAGACCACAGAGCGGAGAGGCAGCTCCTGCCTTGGCCCGGCCAGAGGGGGGTTGACTCTGGTGGGAGAATCCTACCTGGATGCCTTGGTTCCCTGTGACCAGCACTTGTTTTTACTCTTTTTTAAATATTTCATGTCAGTGTGAAGTATGCGACAGGCCTTTCTCCAACTATGAAAGTGACATCTTTTCTGAAACTGTCACCAAATGTGTGTTCTGCCGGATGGATGCAAAAGGCCCGTTAACAGAGGCCTCATCATCATTAGGAGGGGAAGACTCATCGTCACAGGAGTGCAGCCCGACCGCCAATGACTGATGCTCACTGGGCTTGCTAACTGACTTGAGCGTGGGTCCCCCGTGAAGCAGGTTTTGGGGCTCTGAAGGAACCTTTCTCTACGGCTGGACCCAGCCCAGGTGAGCGTGTCAGACTGGGGCAGGGGCACGGCCTCAGCTCCACAGCCCCCTTGGGGATCAAACACTGTTTTTAGATTTCATGCAGAATAAATCTCGATTCCTTTAGAAAACAAGTGTGCATGTCAATTCTAGAAGCACTTTTGCTGCTCCTAAGCTTTCATGTCTTAGTGTTCATTCCGTCTCCTTTTACGAACACATTCTGGACTCTGGTGTTGCGCTGTGAGGCAGCCAGGCCAGCACTCACAGCTCCTGAGGAAAGCTTGGTCAAATGAACAGGAAGATATGTGGGACCCCTCTGCGGAGGAGGCAAGGCACTGTGGGTACGTCACTGGCTAGTGCTCCCAGATGGCCATCGACTCGGCACAGGAAGGTCAGAGGCAGGTGGGTGGAGGGCACTGCCATCACAGAATGTTGCATGCTCTCCACCCCAGACTTTTCCATTTCCAGAATGCCCAGGCAGATGTACAGTCCTCCCCTGCTTCCACAGTGCATCCCACACTGCACAAATCAATTACTTCGGAAGGCACAAAGGTTTCAGTTAACAGACAGGAAGGGCTTCCTTTCCCATCTGGTATGGCTCACGCGATTTCTGTCAATCAGGAGTATGCCCCTTGGTTTGTCTTAAAAACTTAACTGCAGGCCTGGTTTATTTCATGTCAACTGACTGGCATCCCATAACTGTCCAGGGGCACCAGAAGCTGGTCACTATTTGGGCAGGTCCTGCTGCCCTCCTCAGTCATCACCCTGGTGACTGGTCAGACGGGCTGGCTGTTCAGATGTCTCCATTTATTCACGTCCATGATGGATGAACATGTCAGAGTTCCACTCTGCGCCCTCCCAGCAACCGGGCTGTCTTTGAAAGGGAAGTCCCATTGCTAAGCAGTCTCCCTTGCCCCGAACAGATACGTCCCCCTCTCCGCTGTGGGGTGCGGCCGGGCTGCAGGTGCCAACAGCGCCCCACTGATGGGCACACACGTGGCTTCTCGGGTTTTGCTATTGCAGGTCACTCCAGTGACCGGGCCCGTGCATCCCTACTTGCAGAAACTTACATTTCCGTGTTCGAGGCTCTCCGGCCGGAGGCGCCGTTGGGTGAAGGGGGCAGCCGCGTTTGGTTTTGTCGTTGCTCGCAGGCCCTCTAACGAGTGTTGGGACGAGGTGGCTGCCGCGTCCGGGAGAGGAGACCCAGAAGCAGCAGGCGGGAGGCTTGGGCGGGGAGGTCCCCGCTTGCTTCTGCAGCACAAACCTCCCCACGGGCGGCGTCGGGGGCCCCCTCGAAGCTCCCGGCCCCGCAGGGCAAGCTCAGGCGCCCGCGGTGTCCTGGGAGAAGCGGCACGACGGAAGAGCCGGTCTCGCCAGGCGGCTGGAGGCGCCCGCAGGGCGGGAAGGGCCGCCGACCCCGAGGGCGTCCCCGGAGCGCCGCCGCCTCCCGGGCTCAGGGCGCCGGAGCGATCACTGCACGGCGTGGTCACCGCGGAACCACCGCGGGGTGTGAGCCTGACCCGACCCCCGGGGCTCGGCCTCGCAGTACGGGCTGGGGGGCTTCCCGCGCCTGGTTTGTAGGGCAGAAGGTCCGACTTTGCGCGGGCGTTCCCCAAACACCTGGCCACCGGGCTCCGCGCCTGGGGGCAGACGCGGCAGAGACCGGGAAGACCAGCCCGCCGGCGTCTCTCGCGCCACTTGCTCCCGAGTTTTCGCGTCCGACCCCTTCGCCCCAGCCCCGGGTGTGAGCCGAACCGGATACCACGCATGCGCCGGCTGCAGGCAGCACGCATGCGCAAGCGTACGGCGGATGGAATAAATGGTGATGGGGCGCAGATTCTCGCGGTGTTCGTACGGGCGGCGCCGTGGCTTAGTTGGTTAAAGCGCCTGTCTAGTAAACAGGAGATCCTGGGTTCGAATCCCAGCGGTGCCTCAACCGAGCGTCCCGGCTCTCTTTTTACCGGTGCACATTTTTCTTCGACTGCCCTACCTCGCGCCCCTCTCACTTTGGGTGTGTGAAGGTGAGCCTGAGAAGCCAGTTTCGCCCGCCCTCTGCCACCGCAGAGTCTTTTCCTCAGGTCTCCGCGGGCGGTGGCGTCCGCGGTGAGCGAGGGCAAGCGTTCCTCGCTGCTGGGCTGAGCTGGGCGATCAGAGTCGGTATCTCCAGGGGGCCAAGTGGGAAGCACACCCCCGAGGCCCGGGGCTCTGGCTGCTGCACAAATACAGGGCTGCAGGCCCTGACCCTGATCGATTGCACTGGAGTCCCAGGGGGTGCAGCGAGGCATCGGAATTTTGAACAGTTACCCAGGAACACGCAGGTCAGACTCAACAAAATTCATGTCAGAAGCAACAGGACAGTCCCAAGGAGCTGCAGAGATGGCAGTTCCGGGATCAGCCAGTGTTCCTAAGAGCCAAATTCATCTCCTCCAGAAGCAGCATCTCTCTCTCTATCTCTCCCATGCGTCTGAGGTTATTGTCTGTTTCTTCTCTTGTTTTGGGGATCCGTTAGTTGCAGTTCTGATGGGCGCCTTCTCCCCAATCCAATCAGAGGTGAGTTTAGTGGTAATAGGGCTTGGGTCTTTGTGGGATTGTGGTTTTCCTTGGCGCATCTTTACTGCTAGCCTGAGGTATGCCGTGTCAGTTTTGAGCAATGGCCTGTTTGGTGGCCAATGTTGGTTGGGTGCGTAAGGCTGGCTACTGGGGAGTGCCAGCGGAAGAAAAGCATTTGTGGCCGTCAGCCTTGCGTGCAGCGGAGGACTTTGAACCCATCGGATTGGGTGAGCACCCTTAGGCAGTGAGCAAAGGCAGGTAAGAGAAATAGGGTTAACTCTACCCCTCCCGTTCTTTAAAAAATGCCATGCTATTTCTGTCCCAGGGCCTTTGTGTTTTCTGTGTCTTGTACTTGGAATGCTGTTTCCTGGGCCCTTTGCAGGAATAGGTCTTTCTCATTTTCTAGCCTTCCTTAAGGGTATGCCTTGGGAAACCTCCCCTGGCCATTCTCCTGGAGGAGACAAGGACTCCCCCAGGCCAGCCTCCAGTACATTGTACTGACTCTGTCCTTTAATAGCCTTTTCATAGTCTAAACTTGTCTTTTTTGTCTATTGTCTGTCTTCTCAAATAAAATTAAGCCCTAAAGCGTAGGGAGTCAAATATGCCTATATTTACCTCGGTACCCCCAGCACAGAATGGTGTTTGAAACATGGTAGGCATTTGTGGACATGTGACTTTAAAAAAATGGATCCTATTATCTTGATTGGATTACATAATCTGAGGTTTTCGGACAACTACTCCATCTTTTCAAATAGTGTAAGGCAGCACTTCTCAAAATGTCCCTAAGAGCACCTAAGACCCTTTCAGGTGGTCAAATCGATTTTCATAATGATATACAGATGTTTGTTGCCTTTTTTACTATGTTGACATTCGCACTAGTGTGCGAAAGCAATGGTGAGGAAAATTGCTGACACCCTAGCAGGAATAAAGGCAGCAGCACCAAAGGGCCCCAGTTGTCACTGTTTTTTCTTCACCACCACTTTTGTGGGAAAAGGAAAAAAGCCAGTTTCCCTTGAGAATGTCTTTTATGAAGCAGTAAACATTATTAGTTTTATTAAATCTAGAAACTTGAGCACACAATTTTTTAATCCTTTGCGTGAGGAAATGAGACGTAGGCAGAAAGCACGTCTGTGGGAGTCCTGAGGTACAGGAGTTGTTTCGAGAAGCAGTACTTGTGACTGAGTTGTTAGCGGACACGGCCACAATTTTCATAAAGTGCCATTTTTGCTTGAGGAGTAACTGACTATTTAACATCATTGCATTGCCATCAGTGGCTTTGGAGGCAGGTCCAATCCAAGGGGAGGGTGTCAAGGCACATGGAGGGCATGGGGACAGGCTCTGGGAGAAGGGCTTAAAGCCAGGCTCTTCTTGGGCAGGGTGGGAGGGGTGGGGGTGGGGGACAGGTGACCAGGAGCCAAAGCTTGGTTTGGGGCTCTGTGGTTGGTACATGGGATGCGTGTTCCTCAGGATTCCTCCAGCTGAAGAAAACGAGCCCTTCACTGGCTCCTGACACTGGGAAGTCCAAAGGTGGTGCTGGCTTCCTGCTGGTGGCTTCATGGTCTCCAGCAATGTTTTCAGGACCCATGAGCTCATTCTCCAACCCTTGACTCTGCTTCCATTGCGGTTGGCTCCATGTCAGGGGGCAACGGGCTGCTGGTGGCTCCAGACTGACAGCCCACTGCCCCAGTAATTCAGGGTAGAGAGTTTTCCATGGCTCTGAAATCTTGGGCTGAGTCTTGAGAGCAGGGTGGGGCCTCAGGTCTTCCTTGAATGTGTTCTTGGAGACCAGGGGAAGGCATATGAAATGTGCAGTGATCGGCACAGGCCACACAGGCAGGTCCCTGAGATGTGGCTGGCCAGCTCCCCCTACCCCCTGGGCTGAGTGTTGAAGGCCCAGAGGAAGGTGTTGAAGGCCCAGAGGAAGGAGGTGTTGAAGGCCCAAAGGAAGGAGGTGTTGAAGGCCCAGAAGAAGGAGGGAGGGTGAATGGATCTCACAGTGTCCTCCTCAGCATCTGCTCCCCCATTGACTTCAGAGAGCTCCGAAGGGACCCTTGAAAATCCCCTCGACTACTAAGGGAAGAAACTAGAGGAAGAAGGATATATACAATGTGATCGTGTTCATTATGCTTAAAAAAACCACAAATAGTATATTATCGATGCGTATACATGTAAGTATGTAAAAAAACAACCACCACCTATGTTAATTTCATTTTAATGGTTACTTCCGGAAAGGTAGGGAAGAGACTGGGATGAGGTGTCAAGAGGGCTTTGGCTTTATATATACTGGACAAATTTTAAAATTTAATTAAAAATAGTTTACATATAATAAAATTCACCTTTTGTGTGTGTGTAGTTTTGAGTTTTGACAAATGCACGAAGTCATATAACCACCTCCGTCATGATAAAGAACAGTTTCATCAGCCCCCAAAATCTCTTGTGGTGAACCCCTTAGGAGTTAACCCCTCCACAAATCCCAGCTTCTGGAAAACATTGATCTACTGTCCGTCACAGTTTTTTCTGTCAGAGAGTGTCATATAAATGGACTCATACAGTACATACCCTTTTGAATCTGGTTTCTTTCCTCCAGATTGAGATTCACCCATGTTGTTATGTATCAGTAGTTTGTTCCTTGTTTTCTGCTGGGTAATATTCCATTTTGCTTTGTACCACAGTTGATTTTATTGAAGAAGATTTGGGTTATTTCCGGTTCGGGGGTCATTATGAATAAAATGTTATGAATATTCACATACAGGTATGTGTGTACCTAAGTTTTCATTTCTCCAAGGTAAATACCTACAAGTGGGATGGCTGAATCACAGGGTAAGGGTATGTTTACCTTTATGAGAAACTGCACACTGTTTTCCATAATGCCACATCAACAGTTTTGAGAATTCAAGTTGCCCTGCAACTTCACCAGCATTTGGTATCGCCAATGTTTTTATTTTAGCCGTTCTAATAAGTGTGTACTGGTTTCTATTGGTGTTTTTAGTTTTTTGAGATTCTATTTATTTATTTGTTGGGGGTGGAGGAAGAGAGTGAGAGAGAGAGCTAGCACAAGCAGAGGGGGCAGCAGAGGGAGAGAGAGGAGCAGGCTCTCTGCTGAGCAGGGAGCCCAGCGTGGGGCTTGATCCCAGGATCCTGGGATCCTGGGATCATGACCTGAGCCAAAGGCAGAGGCGTAACCCACTGAGCCACCCAGGCTCCCTGAGTTAGGAACGTCTAGCTATGTATTCTAAACATGCAAATACACATATCTCTATTTCTTTTCTTTTTTTTTTTTTTTTAAGATTTTATTTATTTATTTGACAGAGAGATCACAAGCAGGCAGAGAGAGAGGAGGAAGCAGGCTCCCCTAGAGAGCAGAGAGCCCGATGCGGGGCTCGATCCCAGGACTCTGAGATCATGACCTGAGCCGAAGGCAGCGGCTTAACCCACTGAGCCACCCAGGCGCCCCCATATCTCTATTTCTGTCTGTGTGCGTACTTCAACAAGTGAGTTCATATTGATATTTCTGACTCCAATCCAGCACCATGGTGTTCATTCTGGCATCCCCTCCCCCACTGATTTTTCTTGGTAACTTCTTTCTCAGTCAATTAAAAACCTCTTATTATCTCCAATATCATCTCCAAATATCTACTTATTTGTTCAACTCTACTGTACCTGTAAAATAGCTTTGGAATTCATAGCCTGTATCTGTTTGAGAAACAAACTTACCAACTGAAACACAAGTTTATGTGTAGTTCTTTTTTTCTTTCTCCTTAGAGAATCTGGTCAAAAGACCATCTTACCTCCTCCCTTTCTCACCAGGTTGAGTGTGCTTAAGCCATCCGTTTGTAAACAGGTCATTTGTCACTGTGTGCATCTCATCTTGGACTCCCCTGACATTATGGGTGATTTCTAAAGATTTGTACACAGTAAAATTTACTCTTTGTGGTATAAAGATCTATGGATTTTTGACAAATCACACGGAC